GGGCCCGGTGCCCCCCGCCCCCCCGGCCCCCGTTTTTGGGGGGGGGGGGAATCACTGCGATTCACTGGCAGGAGCATCTCCTGGGCGCCACTGAGACACGAGGGTTTCCCTGCACACGGGGCAAAGCCCTGGTGCCAAACCCACAGATCAGGACATGGGATGGCTGGAAAAGCCTGTTTGCGCCACCCGCCCCGAGGATTTGCAAGGGATCGCAGGGAGATTTAGCCCATTTTGGGTGAGACTTACCCCATTTCGGGCTTCTGCAAGACCCCAATGATCCTCTGGATCCTGTCCATGGCCACACTCTGCTGAAAACTACTCAGTCCTGCAAGATCAAAGCCCAGCTGTTAGCTGAAACCAAACCGAACCAGCTTTAATAACCCGCCACCGGAGATGCGGCATGACAAAACGCGTGGAGCAGCCGGGGAGCGGAGCCTGGGACGCGACGGGGCGACTGAGGTGAGCATCAGAGGCTGCACCCAGATCCCGCAGGATTAAAAAAAAAAAAAAAAAAAAGCAGAAAATGCAGTGACCTGCCCTCCCTCTGCTGACACAGACATTTCCCATGGGCAAAGTGGAAAAACTCTGGGGAAGGGTCCAGCATGGGGAAACAGACCCCTGGGAAGTATCCCGCGCTGGAGGGGATGGGTGGGAAGGACCCCGGCAAGCTCTGCGTGGCTGCTCCTGCTCCGGGCTGATCTCCCATTCCTGAGCTGCTGGATCCCATTAATATTTAACAGCAGCACTGGAGGGAGCTGGGCTGATGAAACAGCCAGGCCCTGCTCCGGCTGGGCAATGGGAAAAGGCAGCCTGGGACCTGCCACGTCATCGCAGTGTCACCTGCCGGGGACACTGGCTCTGTCCTTCCTGAGCAGGATGTGGCTGCGGACCCACCTTTCTCGTAGCGCCCCATCTTGAGCCCGTTGAGCAGCTCCGCCAGGGGCCTGATAAAACCCTGCAGCTCCCGGCACTGCGAGGAAGAGGAGGGAGGCGATGAGCACCCGCCGGACACCACAGCATCGTCCCCTCCCGGCACCACCGAGCACCCCGGGGTGCCTGGGTGGGTGCAATAACACCGCGGAGAGCTCAGAGCGAAAGCGCCCAGTGCCAGCAACACCCAGAGGGCTCTGCCACACCTCGGCTTGCTTCGAAGCCCCCCGCTCGTGCTCAGCCTCGTCCCTGGACACAAACCGGGAGGCTTAAAACCCCACTGAGCTGTTCAGGTGGGGGAAACTGAGGCAGAGCCACCTGCGAAGCCTGTCCTGCGTCTTGCACATCCTTGCCGCGGCTCTGCTCCCAGGGATGGGACAGCAGCACGGGACAGACCCCAGCCCACGCATTTCTGGGTGTTTTAATTTTTTGGTTTTTTTTCTTCGCCAAACTCACTTTTTGGGCGAAAAGCCGGTCTCCATCAGTCAAAGGGGATTTCAGGC